GGTTTCTGTCGCCACTGGCCCAGCCTCTTCGCCTCCCTGCGGGTCCAGCTGAAATGAGATTCCGAGGGACACCTTAGTGCAAGCTGTTCCCCGCCAGGAGCTCAGCACAGGGGCGGAGGCCGGCAGGATGGCCAGCCAGCCCCCCGACGACACCGTGGAGTCGCAGGGCTCCGACGAGCTCGAGTGCAAGATCTGCTACAGCCGGTACAACCTGAGGCAGAGGAAGCCCAAAGTGCTGGGCTGCTGCCACCGGGTGTGTGCCAAGTGCCTCTACAAGATCATCGACTTTGGGGACTCCCCGCAGGGCGTCATCGTCTGCCCTTTCTGCAGGTTCGAGACGTGCCTGCCCGATGACGAGGTCAGCAGCCTCCCCGACGACAACAACATCCTTGTCAACTTGACTTGTGGCGGCAAAGGGAAGAAGTGCCTGCCGGAGAACCCCACCGAGCTGCTGCTGACCCCCAAGAGGCTGGCCTCCCTGGTCAGCCCTTCGCACACGGCCTCCAACTGCCTGGTGATCACCATCATGGAGGTGCAGAGGGAAAGCGCCACGTCCCTGAGCGCCAGCCCCGTGGTGGAATTCTACAGGCCTGCGAGTTTCGACTCTGTCACCACCGTGTCCCACAACTGGACCGTGTGGAACTGCACGTCCCTGCTGTTTCAGACGTCCATCCGGGTGTTGGTGTGGTTGCTGGGCTTGCTCTACTTCAGCTCCCTGCCCTTAGGGATCTACTTACTGGTGTCCAAGAAAGTCACCCTTGGGGTCGTCTTTGTCAGCCTGGTCCCTTCGAGCCTTGTCATCCTCATGGTGTACGGCTTTTGCCAGTGCGTTTGTCACGAGTTTCTAGACTGTATGTCACTTCCCTCGTAATCCATAGGCAAAGCCAGCAGTGCACACGCTGCCCTGGGGGTCGTGGGGGTCGGGCACTTCATGGTGTGTTTTCTTTCATGTTCTTTAAGGTTTCTGTTCACGGCTGGAACAGCCTGGGTCCTAGGTCTGTGGCCTGTTCCCATCCAGGTGTGGACTGGTGGGTGCTCCCGTGTGTGCGGTTGTCCACTTCTCCCGGGGGTTGGCCAGGCAGCTGTGTAGGCCCGGCCCTCGTGGAGCCCTGAGGGGTCCCCCAGGTCTTCCAGACACCCCCCAAGGTGAGGTGTGCTGGGCTGCCAGAGGCCCTGGTGGCCTGGTTCCTCCTGTCGAAGTCACAGAGGCTCTGCCGAGGTGTGTGGACACATGTGCCCAGTGTGTGCCCCTCCTCCGTGCTCCCCGTGAATCGAGGTGCTTTCTGTGTTGAGGTGGTGTCACCCAGGTCTGCTGCTCCCCTGAGGGGCCCTCCCTCCACACTGCCTGCCAGGATGACGCTCCATCTTACTCCCGTGGGTGGCTGGGCCGAATGCCTGTTCTGCCACTTTCTAAAGAGAGTGCAGAGCACTGGGGAGTCCACCAGAGCAGCCTGCCTGGCAGAGGTGGCGTCTGCCCGAGACAGCACTGTCCCCATGTTGGCTTTCCTCTCTCCCCAGGCTTCTCAGAGAGCAGCCCTGCTGGTGGACGCCTTCTTCCCAGAACACCTTAGTGTCATCTGGGCTCCGGCCACGCTGATCAGCCGGCCACCCCTCCCCTGAGCAGGTTTCCGTTTCACTTGTTCTCTTTGGTTTTGAAGATGTTCTTTTCTTCCCATTGTTTAAAAAGTCTGATTAGGACTTGTTTAGCTCAATCCCGGAACAATTTGGGGTGAATTTTGGCAACGAAAACCCAGAAGCAGTTAGGGAGATGCCCTCGCTCACGGTGTGAAGCGCTAGCCCAAGATGCGCTGTGCTGGGCCGAGTGGTGCTGTGTACAGTGGCTGGGGGTAGGTGCAGCGCTGTGCCTGCAAGTCTGGGCCACGCAGTGGGCAGAGACAGGCTGAGCTGGCGTCCTCCTGAAAAGACCCTCGGGGTAAAGTGGAAGCCAGGGGCAGCTGGACCTGGGCCCCTGCCGTGTCCGGTCAGTCTTGGAACAGATTCAAGTTCTACGTTAATTTCAGATAGAAGCGGAAGCCCTGTGACTTGAGTCTGCACTCCTGACGGTGTAGGGGAAGTGAATGGACACAGTGGTGAGAAGAAACGGTCCAGCAGGCTTCAGGGTCGGGAGATAGAATGTTCACAGAAACTAGGCAAAAATAAATAAAGGAGCTTTTTAGTGTCTTAAACCATTATCTATGATTGACATTAAAACATTTGCAACTCTTAGAAAAGGGCTTTACTAAGGCGACTTTAACTTGTCTATGATGAAATATTTGTGGCGTGAAATAGTTACAGAGGGCCATTTCCAATCTCCTTACTCCTTATTGAGGAAAAAGGGATACTTACCTAGAATAGCAGTTTGATTTTCATTAAGTAACTATTAACTTTAAGAACCTGTGTGCCCGAGGTAGGTAGGATGAGAAAGCCTATGTGGATGTGGCCCAGTGAATTTAAACCCCAACGTACAACTAACTACACTGACGATTCCATAAAACCTAGCTTAGGTCGCATTGTGAATGCAGTTTCCAGGAATCCATTTGTACTTTGAGTAAAATAATGTTTAAGAGATGTTTTGTGGTTTGGATTTATATATTTATAAGGTTTTTAAGAAACACTCATTTGTCTGAAGTGTAAATGAGAAAACGGGTGAGTTACGCGATGAGCTTTCCCGACAGAGCTGGACGTGGGGCCGCGCTTCGCTTATTTGTATGACGTCTGCAGTGCTGAAGTCGTGTCTGTGCCTCGTGGCCGTCTCCTCCCTTGGTTTCCAGTAAGCTGTTTGGTTTAAAGAGTTTTAAATGTACAACAACAACAACAACAGGCTCTTCGTGCTGTTGAATGGAGAAAGAGCAATGCTTTCTATTTTATTCACTGTGATGTCTTGTTTGTCTATTAAATTGTTATTATTTCAAACTGGAAGTTTGATTTCTCTGACTTGTGGCTGAGCTTCAGTTATGACGTTGGGCCCCTGTTAACTGTAGCTAAGCACAGACTTGAACCTTCAGAAACACTGGGAAGCGGAGCCCTTTCTCAGGCACATGGAGATTCCAGAACTTCAGTAAGGCTGACCCCACCCAGTGCACCTCTAAGAGGAGAGAAATCCAGCGAAGAGGGAATATCAATATTGTCTTTGATAAGCCAACTTTTCAGTTTTAATTTATCTGCTTTCCCGATTTCCCTAGAGGGAATCCAGTTTTTTGTTGAATAGCTTACCTTTTGTGGTCTGGGCAAAATTTTAAAGTTGTCTGGTACCTACCTATGACCATTGTTAGGCAAAGTGGAAATAATTGGAGACTTTGTGGCAGTTCTGTGTTTGTGACAGTGAATGGACACAGTGTGTTAACCAAGAATATCGGTTTCCAGCTGGGATTGTAGCTCAGTGGTAGAGTGCCCGCCTCGCACATGGGAGGCACTGGGTTCTATCCTCAGAACCACGTAAAAATAAAATAAAGCTATTGTGTCCACATATAGCCAAAAAAAATATTAAAAGAAGAAGAAGAATGGTCTCATTCACTTCTGAAATCTTTACATAAGCAAAGCGGCTACCTGTGTGGACCTCACTCACTGGCCAACGCAGGCCTAGTTGCTGAGGCCCACAAGGGTGGCTCAGCACTTGCTGGACTTCAGAGACACCCTGAAGACATTTCTCAGAATGTCAGCCTGGTAGACCAGAAGCCCCAGGGATGCTGGGCTGGGTAGGCTGGCTGACAGGGGAGGGGCAGGTGAACCTGGCAGAGAGCAAACTCATCTGACCCGGGTTAGCATTTTTGGAGCCACGCTGTCCTTGCAAACTCCTCCAGGTAAACACTTGCCTTGATTCTTTGTGAAACACCACAGAAACACCTCCTGTTACTCCAGAGCTCTCCTCAAAACCAGCGACAGCCCTAAAAGAGGTCACCCATTTGCTCTTGAAGCTTGAAATTGTATGCTTTCCCCCCGCATCTTTGCCCCCTTGATAGATCTTCATTTCTTCTTGCTTCAGTACCCTTTATGAATTTTTATTCCTATAGGATTCATATTGGGTGTTTCCTTTCAAGTTTCCTTTTATGTAAAAGAGGTTTTAAAAAATGCAGGTAAATTAAATGTTGGGATTAGAGTAAATTCCAAGTGAGCCCTGGAGGCAATGCTGATTCAGCCCAGTTCTTGCATAGTTTCTATCTGTGGAATAATCCAAACCTAAGACTCAGCGTACAGATATTTATGGTTCTGACATGAAGGTGCTTTCAGTTTAGAGAAAAAGAGAAATCAGAAATTAAAATATGTCCCGAATACCACGTTACTAAGTTGGGATGTGTGCTAATGTATTTTTAAAAGTGGCTGAACCTTTACTTAATTAAAACATTCAATTAACTGAAACAGTTACTCTATCAGCATTTTAATTAATCAGGAGTTCATTAGATTTGCAACATATTAACCTTTTAAATTGAGATGTTGAAGGCAGGTTGCTTTAGATCTTGGTTATCCCAAGCACACCTCTGCACCCAGTCCTCTCAGGTGAGAGAGGTCTGGCCCGGAGACCCAGTTACTGGCTTGAAAGTAAACAGCAACCTGGGTGAGTGGGTAGAGGTGTGGACTGGGAAGGAGAGTCTAGGGCTGGGCTCCCCAGGGTTCAACCTGGGAAGGCTCAGGGGAGGAGCTGGCAAGGGAGGAAGGAGGTGGGATGAGGTTGTTAGGTGAGCACAGGTGGAAACAGTCGTCAGATCGGTTCATGGAAAAACAAAAAAAGGTTCTTCAAGCTTTTTGCATGAGGATTTGCCACTCTATGGAATAGAGAAGAGTGTAATTATCACTGGTTCACTTAAAGCCCTCTGTTAACCTTTTGCTATAATTGGCATTTCTCTCTTAATCCCCTTTGTCCCTTGTCCCAGATGTGGAACAGATATACCTCTAACAGTAACGTTGAAATAATGGTGTTTTTCAAAGTCCATTCTTGGAGAAAAGGAAGACGGGAATGATCGGAACACATAAAAGCACATGTAAAGGAGACAGAAGCTCTGGATGATGATTTCCAGCCCATTTTAATGCACCGGTGTCAATTTCATTGCAGTAGTTGCAAATCTGAAAGCTCTGATTAGTGGATTAGGTAAACACATGCTGCACAGTTCCAAACTTGACACTTCCCCCTAGTGCTTGCCAGCATAATCCTGGTTTGATGTGCCCGGCCAGGGCTCTCTCTTGAGATACTCTGGACTCAAAGTTCAGATGATTCTGAGAACTGGCCGAAGGTTAAATTCCTTCTTCAAGTTTAGAGGGAGTTGAGCTTTTTATTGTTCTTTATCTCTGGATAAGAAAGCTTATAACAGAATTTTAAAATGAATTTTAATAACATTTTACGTATGAAATGTTATTTTTAATGCTAAATAACATCATTAGTCAATAAATGAACATCTGTTTTGGATATGCATTGAGCCAAACCTCCCACACTCTTCCTTCCCCCTGTCTATTTTCTCCGACTTGTCTTCCTTCTCCTCCTTCTCCCCCTGTGACACCTCCTTTTCCTCCTGCTCCTCTTCTTCCTTCTTCTTCACCAGGGATTGACTCCGGGGCACTTAAATACTGAGCCACATCTCCAGACCATATCCATATACATATATAATTTTTTTTTTTGAGACAGGGTCTTGCTAAGTTGCTTAAGGTCTTGCTGAGGCTGGTCTCAAACTTGTGATCCTCCTGCCTCAGCCTCCTGAGCCACTGAGATTACAGGCATGTTCTAGTGCATGTACCACCTCTCTGATTTCTTTAAGGCCATTGTGGAAGAACTCATTGCACCCTCTGCCACCCTTATCCTCACCTCCTGTACACGCAAGTGCACGTGCATGCCTGCACACACACATCCTCCCATTTTAGGAAGCAGGTATGTGAATGAGAACCATATTACTCTTCCACCAATTGGGATTATCCACTTACATACTATTTAAAAATATTTTTGCGATCACTAACAACTCCCTTTATGACTTCTCATACAATAATGGCTTCAACTGCTTGTCCTTGAGGTGTTTCCTTTTTTGTGCTATTCTCTGTCTCTGAGTGGTAGAGATTACCCTAGCTGGATGACGCATGAGCTCGTTGACATTGTGATTTTTTTTGGATAGTACAGCTACAGTCTCTATTCTATAGTTCAGTTTATCGTGATTACAAATTCTGTGTTGGGCTAGAGTTTTTACAATGATAAAATTATTTCCCACCCATAATTTGACCAACTCTCATCCCCAGTTAAAAGGGAACAAATTATGTAGCCTAATTGTATGGGATTTTTCTGCAGCTAGAGTAGAGGATGCGGTCAAGTGATCCCAGGAGACCAGAGAATACTAAATTCTGCTCTCGGAACCGGGGAGGGAATTTGAACTGCTAATTACTTAGCCCAACTTGACATCCCAAATGGGAACCTGACCAGATTTTTTTTTGGATATAAAGTTAGTCTCATTATTTTAACTCATAGTATTGGCTACCTACTATGTGTGATGTGTAAATGTCCCTTCACTCTCTGACATGACATCCACGTGCCTCATCGGAGAAATTGGAAAAAAGACAATTATAGTCTTTACAAGGATTATTTTTTTTAAAGCAGTTGTTCCAAAATACATGATGTGTGGTGTGTCCAACCAGCGGTCCAGGAAGGGGAGAAAAAGGGGAGACTCCTGGCTGTGTGTTGCGGGTCGAGCACCTGCATCCCCCTCTCAGATTCGCCTTGAGCATCAGCATGTGCGGGGGCCAAGAAGTCAGCCAGTTGGAAAAACTATTAAGAGGGTTACTCCAGTGTGGTCCACACTTAGGAGACCATGGAACTCTTTCTCAAGATGTCGGATTTTGTGGAATGGTGGAGCACATTTTGTGAATTCTGCCTTAGAATTGATAAGAAGTCTCAATGCAGAATCTGACTACAGATGTAAATCCCCAAACCAGCAGGAGAGTTACAAGGCCCAGAAGAAGGTAGTAATAAGGCCATGGGGTCCAAATGGAGTGTCCAAATGCAAAGGGGGGCAGGGGACAGGCTGCCAGTAGCAGGGAAGGAAGAAGCTATTGATTTCACTTGTTCCCAACTTAAGCAGTTCACATCCTGGTCAGAGTTTATAGCTTTGTCCCTAACACCTACTTCAGCCTTGGACAGGTCGTTGCACATAGGAAACACCTAAATATATGCACAAGGAAGTCTCCAGGGGAGTAATTACGTATCATTATTTATCAAGCCCATAAGACTTCCACAGTTAATCCTCCAGAGGAACCCAAGGTTCCAGCTTTTGGAAAACACGTACCAGGTTCAAAGTTCTGATCATCAAATGTTAGGGCCAGCAGGCTCTTCTAGGTGAGAGCCCAGCTGTTTATTTGACAGACGAGGAAGTCAGCCCTCGGTAAATGAAGGAGTCTTCGTCCAGGCCCTGTCTCTTGTCCCTATCTGCCAACTCGGTTCCCCCCCCCCTTATTTATCAAATTATGGACAACAAGATCTGTGGCTGGCCAGATTCCATTTGACCCCCACAAGCTCGGGCTGGCTATGAGAGTGGTAAAGGAGAGGGGGAGTGGTCGTCAGGATGCTGGCTCTGGAGCAGTCAAGTCCAAGGGCTGGAGTCCTGAAATCAGGGCCATGAAACAGATGCTCAGAGCTTCCTCGCACGCAGACAGCCGGAGCCCGTGGGAGAAGAGAAGGGGGTGGCAGTGACGGGTGGCCATGGGACAGAAGACCAGGATGGATCTGGAGGTGCTCACGCTTGCCCTGCCTTGCCACCTGCACATCTCAGCACAGCCCCTGACCTGCACACGAGGCAGTTTCCTGAATCATGTGAAGGGGCGCTCTGTGCCCTTGTGACGTCCCCAGCATCTGGAATCACTGTCACATCCTAGAAGTGCTGTGCTAACACCCTGCTCCCAATGCCAGACCTCTCTGGTGATGGGTCCTTAGACGTCTCCCTCCTTGGACGTCC